AAACAACAAAACAGTTAGATAATCAAACAGTGGTGTTATAATATGATAAAAAGAGATACGAAGAAAATTTAGTGAACTTGAACATCGAACCAAAACTACAGTTTAAACAAAAAGAAAAATAATGATAAGAAGAATAAGATATAAACTATGAGGAGGTATACCTTGTCAAGACATCGATCAAGTAACTGAAGAGTTGTAGTCTACTACCGAATGGAAAATCATTGCAAAATAAAAACAGAGGGGGAGGGGGTACAAATTAGAATAATACATGAAAATTGGTTGTGAGAGACTGACACTATTTTTGTCATAATTGTTGTCACATAAAGTGGTAACCGTTGGTATATTCAGTTTATCAATAATAGTAAAACAGATTTTTCGTTTTTTTTTTAAATATTTAACTTAATTTAGTTTATTATTAGGAATCACTAAACAAAATAATTCATAAAACAAGAATATAATTATAACTATTTCATTTGTACTCATTATTACTGTTTGATGTGGGGAGAACTGGGTTGATATTATCATAAATTGCCAGGAACGGGTCCAACCCCCCCCCCCCCCCCCCCCCCCCTAGACTGGTGGATTTTCTATTATATCTATTTTCGGCAGCCGATAAAATGTATTGTTTTGCCGATAGAGTTTCGGCCGTGTCCGTTTTTACCGGTCGCCGTCAAAAAGCTAATCTAATCTAATCGAATATTTAAACTTGTTTGATGCAATAAAATGTTAAAATATTATTAATTATTATTTATTATATATTACGTACCATTATTAATTAAACCATTTATATTACTTATCTAATTATTTTATACATTTTATTGTACTGATAAACTGGGTTTAAATAATAATATTTGAGTATTAGCTTACATAGTATGTACAATGTTTTTATCAGACTTAGGCAGAAATTTTATTTAAGATGCCCCCCCCCCCCCCGTAAATATGCTCTAGATCCGCGCCTGTTAATTGCTCTATGCCATTTGAAGTAATATTTAACTACCTATTAATAACTCTATTAACAAGATATGACGAGGCCCTTTTGTAATATTAATAAGTTAGCCACTCCTGGAAACATTGGTTATTTTCTGTTATGATGCTTTTTGCTTACAAAATATTTCGATACTTACCTAGTTTATTTTTTTAAAACAATTAACAAGTTTATCATTTCCAATAATTATTATTTTTTTGAATTTTTAGTTTGTCACATTTTTACATGATAATCATTTTTTAGTTTTATCTAAATATTTTTAAAACAATAATTTTACACAAATTTTATACAAATAAGAATATTTTAAAACTAATTTTACTAAGAGCCCGGCCACAACTAAGTATTTTCAACGTCGAGTCCGAACGGTTTTACCACCGCGGTTCTTATGTTGCCGTCTAAACACCTGTTCTTAAACCGACTGAACCATACTATACATGGTATTATCGAGTCCATCGTGTACTATGACTCAGTAGATTTAAAAACAGTCTGTTGTTTAGATGGTAACGTAAAAACCGTGTTGGTAAAACCTGTTGAACTCGACGGCGAAAATACCACAATGTGGCTGGGCCCTAACAACACTTAAAACCCAATTTTCAAATACCAAACATCTAATTGAAATCAATATTGGTTTTTAATTTTTTGTACACTTACATAATTTAGTGAGAACTCAGTACGGCATTTTTGTTGATTAATAAACCCATTTTCAGGGGCAAGATATTCCATTTAAAACTCCCGTATAATATTATTGTTTCGTACTCTTTATTTTAATTATAATATCGATTTCAATGTTGTAAGACAATTCATTACATCAATCCCAGCGCTACTTGAATCAAACAATAAAAATATACAAATGAAAGAATTAATAATTATACTGTTCTACAATATTGATTTGATATGCATTTCCAAATCTATTAAAAATTACAAAAATAAACCGTACTTTTCCGTTATGTTGACTACCACGACTATTAAATTCCGTTATCTCGACTACCACCCCGATACTATACCAGCTGGCCCTTTATAGTTCCCCGTAACGACAAGCTTAACTGCGGTTACCCAGTGACCAACTTGCAGTGGTGTTGTATAACAAGTCGAGGGATGTTTTCGTTTCTTTTTATCTGATTGATTGATTTTTTTCTTCTTAAACAAAATATTTGATACATTTAGCCTTATAAATTTAGTTTAACTCCCACGTGAATTTATCAATATCTTTTTTTCGGACACCTATGTATTAGAACCATTTTAAAAAGATGGTGCAGAAATTATTTCCGGAAAAAATTAGTTTTTATGGTAACGTGCTTAACTAGATAGGTACGTTAAAAAAAAAGGTTGTTCAGTAAAACAGAAAAGTTCCAAACGCCCGATAACATAATATTGCATTGTACGAATGAGTTAAACCCCAAAAGTCGTGAATTATCTAACTCTATAACTTAAAAATGATGATTTCCGTCAATTTCTAGTCCTATGTAATTTATACATATTATATAGGTAATATAATAGGTTTCCTAAAAAAAATAATTATTCTTGTGTACGCTAAACTAGATTTATTCCCAATAATATACAATTATTATAATTATATGTAAGTACAGTAGTACATATTATATTATATTTGTAAAGTGTTCATGTGGGGGGGGGGTTGACCATTAATATCAAAAACCAGATAAATTTTAAATGTTTTGAAAAAAAAAAAAACTATTGCAAAGATTTGAGACTACAAAGTGATGGGCAGCTGACTTTGAAGTGGAAAAATTGGGTTTAGTAGGTATATTGTTTTTTTCGATGTGATAGGTAATATATATATTATTAGTATATATATATATTATCGGTGACTGCAACTGTATAAGAGTTAATATTATTATGTATTTTATGTCGTTTTGATTTTTTAGCAAATTATTTGCGTAGTAGGTATAGCCAGTCATTACACAAACATGGATGACAATATTATAATATCATATTATCGTATTGGAAACCCACAAATCTACTGCATGCTTTAAATTCATATATTTTTAATATTTTTATGAACATGTTGGGCCATCGATTCAAATCAAAATGGTGTCGCTGCGAGCTTTCCGAACAGGAAATCTTATAAATCTAATATAACGCAAGTGGACCCAATACACACATGAGTTAGTAAATGATGAACTTGTACGTCGTGGGATTTTGAACTGAAAAAAACCCATTCAATATACGTTTTCAATCATTGTAAATTGATCCATTGCAATACCGAACCTGTGGGAACGAACCTTTATATGCAATACACTAGCACACTTTAGAACTGGTATGTAATGTAGTTTGGCCGTATTATAATTGTGATTTAACATAATCTGCAGTAATATAAAATAATTATTATTATGCACCTATAGAAATTACGACAAATCGATTTTTTTTTCAGGTCATCTTCTATTCGATTCGAAATTAATTGACGAAAAATCGAGTATAATTTACAATAAATCGTCGGGAGGAAATCATTCCACGCTTGATTAAACGTTACCTGTACAATTGTTGAGGATTCAATATCAGCGTCGAATGAATTATAATAAAATGTACCTCGAGTAGAGCTTAGTGGAAAATGTTATTACGGTTTTATATAAAAAAATACGTTTTTACGGTTTTACACAATGGTCGGAGGACCATTGCAAATATCAAATATGCATTTATTGTATGACTATTAATTATTCATGTAAAATACAATATAGTCAATATTATAATAGTCGATTATACATATAGTTGTTATTAAATTTTTTTCGACGTGTCGAGGAAACTACTAGTACGCAAACAAAATTATCACACACATCGTTGCAGCTTAATGATTTCCACCAGCATATATCTCTCGTGAGCGAGGATGTATCGATTTGCGAGTATAACATAAAATAAAAATAATAAATGGAAGAAAAAAACACGAATCGGAATTATAATTATAATTTATAGTGACCCCGCAACGTGGATGATAAATCCAAATATAAGAACAAACGCCCCTGGAGACTTAACGCGAATACGGTCACAAAACGTATACACACAATGACCGTATATGTTACGGGGAAAACGAAGTGACCGAACCGTTTGTATAAGTCATAGACTAGACTGAAAAACCACTGAATCGCTAACTACTGCTGATTGGGCACCAGTAATACCATAGATAAATATTTAATATGTCTTATACCTAGACTGACATACAGTCTCCGCTCAGAATCGTTTTTCTCATACAATGATATTATATCATTGAATTCAAGTTTAAATCCATCCATTATACAGTGACCCACTTGTAACCTACAGTACAGCAGATAGACATCCACTTACCCACCTTTTTTTATAAATGCATGCGAGTTAGTAGTAGACATAACTCCGGTGGCTAATCAGAACATAATGTTAAGGACAATCCTAAATCGAATAAAGTGTTTAGCTTACGAGGTTAAAATAAAATACGAAAATATAACTAGTTGGGATAATGTTAAAAACGTTATTAAAAACTACATATTATAAACCCACAAATGCAGCGTATCTGCAAATAGAATTGTTTAGCGCGAAACAGCGATATAAAGAAACATTAATAGAATACGTTAATAGAATACGTAATTTGGTGTCTGAAGGTAGCACACAAGGTAAAAGTGCAAGCTATGCATTAGCTGTACAGAATAATATAAGAGAGCAGGCCTTGTTAGTATTTTTGGAGGGGATATCCGATAGAATAAAAGTAATGGAAAAAGTAAAAATCCCTCCACATTAGAGCAAGCAATACAGATTGCAATAATTGAAGATAAAAATATAACCCCAAGCGAAGTAAGGTCCAATAATCATTTTAATAATAGGGCTAAAGGGGAAGCGCAAAAGTACAATAAAGGTAATTGTCATATATGCGGAAAATACGGGCATTATGTTAGAGATTGTAGGTTTAAAAAGGGAAATTCTAGAAATGAGGGTAGTAAACCTAGTACGAATAAACCCACAGCAAACGCATATTTGATATGCACGTGTTGCTCGAAACAGGGGCACACTATAGATAAATGTTATAAAAAGAAAAATGAAGATAGACATAGAAAAGGGGAAAGCTCCAATTCGGGAAACGGCTATCGGCCACAGGAATAGAAGGCCCCCTCTGGTTAAGGATTTAAGGGAAATATACCATATAAAACAAATAATGGTCGCAATGGAAAATCAGCACATTAAAAGTAGGTCAATAAATTTTATAAATGAAACGTTGGAATTTTTAGTGGATACAGGTAGCAGCGTAGATATAATTCGTTTATCCGCATTAACGGCGGATACGAAGTTAGTACCAGGTGAAGCGATTTCTTTAAGAGAAATAAGTATTACGTTAGAAACCACCATATGTATAGTAGAGATACCAATAGAAATAGGTACAGAAATATTCGAAAATATAAAATTTTATATAGTTAAAAACGATATGCCACTCATTAAAGCAGGTATATTAGGTAGACCATTTTTCCAGTTACAAAACACTACAATAAATATGCCATACGGATGTAGCACAAACACGTTAACATTAGGGAATCATATAAGAATACCTTCGCGAGTAGAATATATAATGGCAGTAGGTGTTGACACTGGGACGGTTAAGGATAATGAGGCAATAACTATTCATCAGGGAGAGCTACAGGAATAAGTATTCATAGGCAACGTAATAAACATAGTGAAGGACGGGCACGTGCTAGTAAACGTCATACATTTATCTGATGAGGAAAAATTAATACGACCAGTGAGATTAAATCAATTAAATTATGAATTGTATAGAGAACAATCGATAATGTATATTAATACTACCGAAAGTGAAATCTTGCCAAATTATTCCGAAAGAGTACAACAGTTAAAAAAGGAATTACGTACCGAACACTTAAATTCGGAAGAACTCGAAAGTATTGAGCAAGTGTGTATAGATTTTATGGACATATTTCATTTAGAGGGTGATAGGTTAACCCACACCACGTCCATAGAACATGAGATCAGAACTCCGGAGGGGGAACCTCCCATATATCAGAGACAGTAAAGGTTATCACATAGTCAAAGGAACGAAATAACGAAACAAATAAAACAAATGGAAAGCGACGGTATAATAGAACCGAGCAGTAGTCCATGGAATAGTCCTATACTTTTAGTTCCGAAAGAAATGGACGTATCAGGAAAACCAAAATTTCGTTTAGTAGTGGATTTTCGGAAATTAAATAATATTACAGTAGGAGATAAAATGCCACTACCACAAATACAAGATGTGTTAGATCGATTAGGTAGGTCTAAGTACTCTTCTATTCTAGATTTAGCCCAAGGTTTTCATCAAATTTCGTTAAATAAAGTCACGGGATAAAACAGCCTTTAGTAGTGACATCGGGCATTGGCAATATACGAAACTACCAATGGGTTTAAAAAATAGTCCTCCCACATTTCAACGATTAATGAATAACGTTCTATGTAATTTAATCGGTTTAAAATGTTTAGTATATTTAGACGACATTATAGTTTTTTCTACCGACTTATATGAGCATGACAAACGAATTAGAGAAGTGTTTACTCGTTTACGAACACATAATTTACAATTACAACCTATAAAATGCGAATTCTTAAGAAAAGAAGTGATCTATTTAGGGCATAAATTAACCGAAAAAGGGGTACAGCCCGACGAACGAAAAATTGAATGCGTTAAAACATTCCCCATACCTACGACGGTAAAAGAAATAAAATCGTTTCTAGGATTAACAGGTTACTATAGAAACTTTGTACCTGAGTATTGAAAAATCGCGAAACCAATAACAAATCTATTACGAAAAGGAATAGAATTTAAATGGACAAAAGATTGTCAAGAAGCTTTCGATAAATTAAAAAGTATATTATGTAACGCACCACTATTACAATATCCGAATTTCAAACAACCATTTTTTATTACGTGTGACGCTAGTAATAATTACGCTGTAGGATGCTAAGGCTAAGCCAAGGTGTTATATCGACCGATCTACCTATCGCATACGCATCACGTACACTCAATAAAGCCGAAATAAATTAATCAACAACCGAAAAAAAACTAGTGACTATTATGTTTGGTGTTAAACAATTCCGACCATACGTTTATGGACGAAAATTTACAATAGTAACTGACCATAAGCCATTAACATGGTTATTTAGTGTCAAAGACCCAAGCAGTAGGTTACTTAGATGGCGAATAAAATTAGACGAGTTCGATTATGAAATTCAATACAAAAGTGGTAAACTAATTTAAATGCCGATGCATTAAGTAGAATAAAAGAAATAAACTTAATTGAAACTATAACCACGTACGATAAATTTTGGGAACAGTTAATTTCTAAAATAATTATAAATACGCGAATAAAAGAAATAAGCAGACGAATAGCAAATGCATCTAAGGATTCAAGGATAATAGTAGTGATAACCTAAAGATAAAATAATAGCTACCCACGCGGCAAAGTAATGTTATCAAAATATAACGAATTAATCCAAACAATAACTAGAGAGGTTGACCTAACCCCAATATTAATACCATTATCGGGGATATAGCATATTATATAGAAAAAGACAAATTAATTTGTTTAGTAACCAAGGAAAAGGATAGCGACGTACCTACTTACGAAAATATATATAACACTTTAATAAAGTTAAGACAGTTATGCGAAAGTAATGGGTTAAATAAGCTAACAGTATTTAAAAATGAGATGAACTATACTAAAGATAAATTAAATTGGGCACAAATAAGAGCCACGTATAGATACATATTCAAGGGTACGCACGTGAACGTACTAATATATTCCGAAACCGTAATGAGTAGCCAGGACATTACTTATTATGTGTTCCGATGTTCAGCGTCACTGTTCTATTGAAAACGGGTGTACTGCAATAAAATATATTATTGTATACTTGTAAAATATGGATTTTATTTTCTCTGTGCAAAAATGTCGACTGAAAATACAAAATTCTATCGACAGTTGTACTACGTATAGACACCTGAGACGAAATTTGAGTTTACCCATATTGTTATGTTGAATATTGGTTCAATTCAATGGTTTAATCGGTCGACTGTAAATGATAAAGTCGTCACAACAAAATGGAGAGCAACTGTCAGCAAACGATATTAGGTATAACACACAAATAATTTAACTTTGAAATGATCGATTAATAGTAAAACACGTACAGTACACAATCGTATACAATATCAATGGCGGACTAAATAAAGAAATAAATATCAACATTTTAAGACTTCAGATTGGGAAATGTTGGACCACAATAATATTCACACTATATCAGAGGAAATATTATCATGATCACAAATCATTCAGTCAACAAAAAAAATTCACACCACATACATAATTACCAACAAACTAGTCTCTCAACAATTGAACAAAATATGTACACATACAATAAACTAGGTATATACTTATTGTGATGTTCAGCGTCACCGTTTTATTAAAAACAGGTGTAAGTACAGCAATAAATGTAAACGCTAGCATACTTGTACAATATAGATTTTATTTTATTTGTGTAAAAATGTCTACTAAAAATACAAAAACCTATGACTAGCACAGTAGCACCTACGACTAAATTGAAATTTACCTGATGGCCTATGTAAGCCTAATGGTATATTAAATGTAAGTTACTAAAAAAAAAAATGAATAGTATTATATTAACAGCAAACAATATCATAATCACAAATCATTCACACAACATATAAATCGAAAAATTTTACGAACCCAGAATATGGATACCACCATTTTCACCGTACACAGAATTACCAATAACACTATAATATTATACGCTCAGCAGTCAGCAATATTATTGAACAATGTACACAATACACGTCATAATATACAATAAACTATACTATTATGAATATGTTTTGCATTGCAATTCAAACACTATGTGTAATAAATTTATTCAGATTGCAGGGTGAAATCGGACAACGACGACGATGAGCAAACGACGAGAAAAACAAAATAATATTATTTAGAATAAATTAAGAGTGAAAACTGCTCAAGTATAAATTGTATTTAATTTGTTCAATTTTAACAAAAATATCAAGACATTTAACACAAAAACCGAGAAAGTTGCTCTGATTAGATTAGGTTGTATATAGATAGGTAGGTTTTTTTCTCCAATTATTTTTAAAAGCACTAAGAATTTTCAATTTCGACCTCCTAAGAGTACTAGCTAGATCCAATTTGCTTCCAAAAACATACACTGTGCATCGAAGCTTATGATCGGAGCATTTTTTCTACCAAAAGAGTTGAAAAGTTACAAACATTTTAAAATACCCCAAATAAACGTCTGCAATTATTAGACTGGACAAAATAAAAATTAAATTGTAACTAATTGTCAAGCCCCCCTCCCCTCATTGAAAAATCCTGTGGACGCCACTGAGCGCAGCATTGCGCTAGATCTGGATTTTTACCGTAATAAAAACACTATTCTGGTGTCGACTTGCCAGACCTATTATTCTAAGACCGTGCTCCACAGACATAAAAAAAACACAATCATTTAGCAGATGTAAATACCCTTGTTGATAATATTATGATCCTGACACTAACCGCGATTAACAGCGCTTAACCAGGTGTTACCACACTTGGTGAAGTCCCAAATCTTTGGTTATCAATGTGTTTATCAATCGCGTTTCTTGATTAAGATGAGTAATCCGCTGTCCGCGATTAGCAGTGTTTGGGAAATTTACATTCGCGAGTTTTAAATATAATATATATGATAATATCGCATATTGTATAATATTATAATATTATAGTCGCAACCAAAACATGGATGTATTAAAAGAAATTCAAGAGAGAATCGCTGAAATTCAAACACTATATCCTGATCACATGAACTACGGCCAATCGTCGAAATTCACTACGTGCCAACCGTTGGAATTTGCTGCACTCTTAGAGAAGTTAAAAGAACTGGCTGGCCGATGTGGATCTGAAAAACAAAACAATCATTACACTTCTTGTCCTTGGTCGAATAGTAAATGCGTTTGCGGGCCAGATACATGCCAATGTGTGATGGTACGTTTTTTCATTATCAATTAAAAGTAATGCTCGATGCGGTCGTCAAACAACATGGTCCAGACAACGATGGCGGAGAAACAAATGCCGGAGGAAAACAACAATAGTCATGCATTATGACCGTCCAATCAGTGTGAACACAAACAAAAAAAATATTCAGCCGAAAATATAATAATATTAAAACTAATCAAGCTATTATAAAAATGAGTAATAAGACCTTATCATCATTATTGTAATTTTTTTTACTTTTATTTTATATTTATATGCATATTATGTGCATTGTATTTTATAATATCATATAATCTGCATTTAACTTACACAAAATATTATGATCATAATTAACACAACGATAATACAAATTATATAATAAATAAATAAATAAAAACATATAAGTATACAACACAAATCCTCTAATACGTCAATATTTGATTAGGTAATAACGTCTTGAAGACCTTTCCCAGAGCTACCAGACAGTAAATAAAAACGGTTTATATCATTATCATGATGAAAAATATATCAGTTAGGTATAAACAACAAATTACATTATTACTGGCCGCAGAATTTAAAAATATTTAAATTTTTAATTTTATATCACAGAATAAATAATTTTGTAATT